TCTCTCTCTCTCTCTCTCTCTCTCTCTCTCTCTCTCTCTCTCTCTCTCTCTCTCTCATTTTCCTCTTCATTGAGACAGGATCTTGGTATGTATGCCAGGCTGGCCTCAAACTTGCAATCCCTCTATCTCAGTCTCCCAAGTCCTACTCTACACATTCTTGAAGAAAAAAAAAAAGTACGTTGACCAAATCCTCTTCTTGACTGTCTGGGAAATGAGGCCAATGGAAACACAACATGTTGACAAAGGAGGTTTTGTGAGCAAACAAGTAATAAATACTTTCTAGTTATCATGGCTATTTTGTGTGCAGGTCTAGAGATTCACTGGAAAAAGTTTTCTGAGACCTCCTCCTTAAAATTCCTGAAGTCAGAAGAGCACTCCTGAACCTCATCTTTAATAGCTATCAGATGACAGTGCAACAAAACATGTACTACATCATAATAAACTTTAATGTCCAAATAAAAACTGTTATCTGTACATCTTTTTATATTTATTTCACTACAGAATACAAGGGAATGTGTTTTTGCTGTATGTGCTGTTAAGAAAGTTCCAATATCAGGCAAACTCTAACCCATGGGTTCAAACGCACTGGGGAAACACCAAGAAAGATAAAGGAGCAATCCCAAACTTCATCAGCCTAGACGCCATGCAGTTCCAAGACTGCTATTGGGCTGACACCCCAGTTCTTTTGAGATGTAGACTGCAGCATGTTCTTTATTGTCGGGGAGCCCAAATCCTCCAATTCTGCCTGTACTTGTGACAACTCTATTGGTTCTTTCCTAAAAATGACGTCTATTCAACCTAAATGGGTAATAAAGGTAGAAGATGGCACATAGGCAAATTTTCTATTTCCTTTCATGCATGAATACTGAGATATTAAAGACATTGCATGTCATTTACTAACACACTAAAGGCCTCACACTTTAAAATCAAACAGTAAAATCTGAAGAAATTAAATCCAGAAATAGATGTAGTACAGACACTCTGGAAAACAAGGGTACAAAACAGCTAATTTTAAAATCTGAAAACAATCATGGATTATGATATGAGGAAATGCTTATTAGCCATTTTTCCAGCTCACTTTAGTTTTATCACGTTTTATGCAATTTAAAATTTATGGAAACATTTGAATGGTGCCTTTAATTTTTGCCAGAATAGTTTGAACTTGGTTTAAGCCTGAAATTGAAGAAGCCTGAGGAGGGTTTGAATAACAACTTTCTTCAGTCTGTTTATTTAAAACATGATGAATAAGCACAAAGAAAAGGTGCAGAATTGAAAAAAGAAAAATGATCCTTTCTCCTTCCTAGAAGCATTTGAGGTTTCTGGATTGTTCAGCATCTTGCACCAAGAGTTATAATCTTGCTTGCCTGTTAGTAGCCAAATATATCTAACATAGTCCTCATCACTGCATGTGTGTAAACTTGGTTTCGAAGGGCTCATGAGTAGTTTTAAAGTTATAGGAAATCAGTAAGACACTTCCTTGATGTTAAATCCTTAGCATTGCCTGACTTCTTTAATGTGCTAAAAAAATAAAAAAATAAAAAAATAAAACCAACAAAATTTCTTATAGTCTTATTTTGAGGAAGTAGAATCCTAATATTTTAACAATACTAAATACCTCGTGTCTGTCAATCAATCATTCTCATAAAAGTGAAAGAGTGGGGCTGGAGAGATGGCTCAGTGGTTAAGAGCACATAAATAAGACTGCTCTTCCAGAGGTCCTGAGTTCAATTCCCAGCAACCACATGATGGCTCACAACCACCTGTAATGAGATCTGGTGCCCTCTTCTGGCCTGCAGGGACACATGCAGGCAGAACACTGTATACATAATAAATAAATAAATCTTTAAAAAAAAAAAAGTGAAAGAGTAAGGAGGAGAAGAACAAAAGAAACTCCAGGAACCTAACTAGAGGTGGTGGTCATGGTCATCTGAAATTCTGTGCTCCACAGGATGTTAAGTGCGGTGCAAAGGAGCCAGGTAGGTTTCTACGGGCTACACAAGCTTTAGTGTTTTCATCTATCAATGAGAGCAGCAGTGTCTACATTAGAGAGCTGTGAGAGGACAATGACACAGACTTACAAATAGCACAGTGCATGACCCAAAGAACTGCTCTACGGCTATCAATTCAGAATCTCCCCTAATTCAGAATTCTGTCCCACCCCCACCCCTTGATGCATAGAACATCATTCTGGGATGACTTAATACCATCTTTTTGCTGCTAGTGTAGTTGGCTTTGTTTTTGAGACAGGGCTCATCCTGTAGTCTAGGCTGGCCTGGAACCTGGGGCAATCCTATGCCTCAACCTCCTACGTGCTGGGGTTACAAGCATGAGCCATCATGCCCAGGTTTGATATAGCCCACAAGAGCTATATCAAATTATATCTATATCTATATCAAGATATTCTTGATATCTTGACAAGAATTAGTAACTGCCACAGAAATATTTGTTAAATTTAAACATAGTGGGTGTTGAAGATCCCACACTCAGAAATCCTCTGAAGTATTTGTTCACATTCTAGAAACTCAGTCAGTGACAGGGAAGGGCGAGAACCTAGAAATGGCAATTATAGTTTCTTTTAGCAATGTCCAATTCATGTTTACAAACTCAAAAGAATCATCCATGGGTCAATGGAAATTTATTCCAACCAGAAAGGTATTAGGTATCAGAAAGGTCTTAGGTATCCATTTCCAAGTTGACTATTTACAGCAGTCATTAATTAAAATACTGCTTTTCACAACTGCCATCGTTATCAGAAGGTGGAAGATAAAGCACATTCACATGGCTGCCTTTCCACATTGAAGTCCTGTTTAGGGGTGTCACATGACAGGCATAAGCAGTAAACTATTATGGAGCACAAGGCTAAAATGATCACTTAACTCCAGCAACAGAAGTGGAAATACCCTCATGTGTAAGGGACTGTTGGCTCTGGAGAC